CACAAAAACTGCAGTTGCGTTTGTTGAACAAAATTAAGTTGTTTTGTTGCTTCGCTTTCCTTCTCGTGACGAAAAATCTTTTCTTTCCATAATTGTATACCATGGATAGTTCTGTCAGTGCCGGTGAGCGTACAGTATAGTGCTTCTGAAGAAAAAAATAAACAGCAGTTAAAAATCGATCTTTACATTTTATTTAAATTTTTGGTTCACTTCTTACCGTACTAGAACAGCCAGATCTTTAATTTTAACAACAAGCAGTATTCGAGCAAGTGTATCGTAGTCACAGTTATTTCCACAGGTAGAAAATTGCAAGAATTTGCTTACCCGAACACCCTGTATGATCCAATAGATTTCCGTGGAATTGCAACATTTTTCGTGGGGGTTGCGAAAATTCAAAAATCAAATCCGGAATCGAACAGCCTACAGTGGCTATTTTTGATCGCATGTTTGCGAATGCCGAAAATGCGTGTCTCACATATTGGAGCTGCTTCGGTGATATCAGGAATTCACGGCAGTACATGTACTTCTCATATGGAAAATAGGTAATCACCGGTTAAATATTAGGCGAAAAATGTGTAGGTCCGAGTATGTCTTGTCTACCAGGCAGGACAGACAACAGTGAAGAAGAATCCTTTGGTGATACTGTTCCAAAACGAGCACAATGCGGAGTGAACACTGTCGGTAAAATGTTGATAAAATACTGCAACATTCCATTTCACCCGTTCTCCGCGGTTGGCAATTTGTTTGCAAACGTTTCATCTCCAGCCGAGGTGAGAACGTCAATGTCACTTCACAAGCACTGATGAGATCACCTCGGCTGGTAACAAAATGTTTGCAAACAAATTGTCAACCTCGGCGAACAGACGAAATGGAATTCAGTTCACCAGAGCTACGAGAACTGATTTGCAATACTTTCTCAACAGTGCGATATGTGCCCTTTGGGGTTCGGGAAAATACACGGTATATTGCAGTTTGAATGCATGCTCCAAAGAAGCAAATTACCAGAAAGTAATTTTTCAGTTTACGCGTGACCAAATCCAGGGAACTACTAATGAACTTGCTGTATCCCTGGAAGACTGGAAAGAGTGATTCTGTTTCTGCACACAGACAATGTTCAGTTGAAGTTCAATAACGAAATATATCGCCACAAAGATGAAGTAGCACTTGGATTTTCACTCAGTCCCCTATTTGCTGGTTTGTTCATGTCCACACTAGAAAATTTAGTTTTGAATTCCACAGTTGAGCGATGCAAGCTGTTCAGAGGATATATTTATGGCAGCAGTTGTGTTAGATAGAAACGTTAAGTTGTCCGACTTCATTAGGATGGTCCGTTCTGTCCATCCCAACATCGAATTCACTTTGGAATAACGAGTCAATGGCTGGATTGATTTTCTGTATATTTGCTTAAGGCGTGGCACAAATGGTTCTATGCAGAAATTTTTTTGGGAGCTGATGTGGAGTGGTCAGTACAAACACCAGAAATTTTGTGCCACTCATATGAGATAGATTTGCGATTCTACTTCTGGCAAATAGATAGTAAAAGTATGCACTGAACTATCTTCCATCCGGTGTGTGGATAGTTTTTTAGTACATCATCGTTCACGGATGCAGAATGCAGTTTATGTGGCAAAACTACGTGTCGNCCAATCTGATCTTGTTCTCGCAACTCAAAGACAAAGCCCCTGCTTCGGCAGTCCTATTTTATGTGTTCTTGTTTACGTGTTCCTGTATGGTAACATCTATCCACCACACGAGCAGGGGCCTATCTGCAAGAGTTCGGTGACAACACCGGCGAAACTGATATGGGAAACGTGCATGAAGAGTTTCGTTCTCTCTGTTGTGATTGGGGTCACTCATCTAGGCGGATTCAAAATCGCATCTTAGACACAATCGAGGAGGTTTGGACCCTTCNCCTTCCACATACCCCCTTTGCAGTTTGTGAAATCCTTTAGCTTCCCATAGAATTCTGCATCCGCCTCCCTACACCAAAATCAAATTAGTAACACGGATTTAGGGAGAGAAAAAAATCAGAGAGCAACATCAGCCATATCCGGTTGGTGGAAGTGATACAGATAATGTAAAAGTATTGGCTATTCATTTGTTCCTATGATGAATTTCACTGTGTGCGAAGCGAATGAACTAAAAAGCTAGGAAACATTGGACAGTTATTTCTACCTGGTTGGGTCCCATCAACAGTGTGAATCCATCGATCCAACTGAGAATCAAACTCGGGACCTCACAGGCTATTTACTATTGTTTTATACACACTGATACCGTATAAAATTTTTATGCATTATTCGACTGGTGAGTCACCGAAAGCAAACTTGTTCCCAAAACTGTATTCCGTGGTTAGTTTATCCCAGAACTCCGCCGTTCAGTGCGCCGATTTCGGGAAAGTCATAACCACCGACAGAAGAATTTGTAAAATGAGTAACCAACAAAATAATTCATTCACCGCCTGTCGTTAGTAGAGAAAACAGCTTTTCTCTCCTTTACTACTGCAGTATATCAAAGCTCAAAATGTTCTATGTTGGGCTACTTGGTTTTACCGTGAACAATCTGTATGCATTCAATTTTGGTTAGCAAGAACCGAACACTGTGACAGTCTGTTTATATGGAAGAACACACACATGTCCTGGTTGAAAAATAACACTTTACATGTGTACCTGCTTATATGTCGATGATTTGAAAATGGGAGTTAACTTTTCCATCAGTTTTTTTCTGTTAAAAGTCTCTGTTTGCGAATTTTCACGTGAAAGGATCGGTTTTCGGGCTAGTAAAAATGAAGTGGTTGAACAAAGAGAATCTCAACTGAACCTGCAGGTGCTCTGAACTCAAGTTTCAGCTGTACGGCTACTAAAATAATTAATTATTTAATTAATTAATTATCCGAACAAAAAAGATCGTGATCGAAGAGTTAATCTACGTGACTTTGTTGAGAGGCTTCAAATAATAGGGCTCTACTATTGTCAATACCTTTGAATTCGGAGGTCAAACCTTCATATATCAAATAGTGCATTACCTTAACACCCATGTAGTACTCTGTGGAAATCTCCAGGACTGGTCAACTCATGCGATATTCCTTCAAACTGATTCTTCCCGTATCAGAGTATGTAGTATTTGAGATTCTCCTTTCCCTCCAAATACTTGTGTACTAACTATGGATTACTTCAAGTTTCTGCTCGAAGAAGCACCGAAACGCCTAACTTTCAACACCCAAGGGTGAATGTGAATATATATATCACCGGCTTGCGGACAAGCATGATGCCAACGCCACAACAATAATAACAATAAAAAATAACAGGATCGGGGTTTGGGATACAGAACATAATAAAAACAAGCAAAAATGGTAAAATGGCCAAATGCGAATGAATGGATTGCAATTTTTGCGTTTCACCGTACACTTTTTGAAATTTTGTGTGTTAATTTATCATTTTTTCATGGGGCAGGGGACTTCATCAGGCAGCTTCGCCTCCTTAACCCAACCTCCCTCGGGCTCTTCAGACGATCGTTATTATTTGTACTAACATTTGAATCCAGTGTGTATAAGTCCTATGGAGTCTAATAAATTTTAGCTTTACAATGAAATCTTAAAAGGCTTAAAATTGAAATTTGAGTCTGAAAATGTGATATTAGTAGAACTGGGAAAAACAATTAGGTTTAGAAATGTTAAAGAAACTCTTTAAAAAAGACAAAACGCATCACTGGTCTACTTTCAAGTTCCAGCTACGTAATCACAGTGCAAGACAATTGTCAAAGTTGTCTATCTTGAAGAGCTCAGGAATATCTGATAGTCAATATATGACAATAAGAACAAACATTGTATTCACAATGGCAATAGTGTATGGTTCAATGTGACCTCATTGGCAGTTCAAAATTCACAAAGTTTCTGGATACTCTTCTGTAGTGTAAATAGATGAATTTTCGGGTAAAATTTGCGGAAAAATGTGGCATCTTTGATCAAAACATTCAAATATACAACAAATAGGTAATGCTTAAATGGGTTTATTTGATTTTGGTAAATGTTACAATTCGCACAGTAAGAAAGCCATTCGATCTACATGTTCGGTTTCCTTTTCGAAAATCATATCCGCGTTAGGTTGTCAAAAAGGATCCGACATTTTGATATAAATGGTGAAAAAAGCGAACTGGTCAATCTGTTGTGTGCAATCCAAGTTGATTTTCTCCTCCTTGGGATTAAAAATATCTTTCTTCCAGTCAGCGAAGAACCATACCACAATGTTAAAACACCAAATACGAATGATTGAACAAACATTGTCTTTCTATTGATGCATAGTCGTTCATCAAGTTTGGCTATTCCATAATTCCCTGCGCAGTCCCTCTTTCACTAGCCAAAGGGTTTGCATGCGCAAGCTGCTCGTTTGCAAATACGGGAAAGTCTTTCGAAAGTCCTATTAGATGAAGAATCCATTGGTACACCATTCTTTTTTAATTTCAAGTTAACTTAGTGAAATACGACAGAAACAAATCAGAAAATCGCACGAATATCAACAACCAAACGAAATTTCTGTCTTAGAAGAGCTGTTTAGTCTAGCTATCTGGATTCTAATTTTATCATGTTCACAACAAGCCTTCCACAATATTTTTTTCAAAGCTGGTAATATTTCCTAATATTCTATTCCTTAAGGGAATCAGTTCCCTCTGTATAAGGGAGAGATAGCTACTGTTAGTACAAAGCAACATCTGTTTTTGTACTATATCTGTTTTCAAAAAAATAAATCAGTTTGAGTTTTGTCATGTTGTTCCAGCGTGTGGAGCAATAATACATTTGGTTTGTTTGTTGTATGCACAACATAAGCAAGGCATTCTCAGAGAGAAATCACGTGTCGTTCACGTGTCAATCGATTTGCCATTCAACCAGTTCAAACCAAGTTGTGCTTGGACAGTTATCATACCAGGAATGTCACTTTAGGGTAAAACTACAAAACTATTCAAGACAAACTTATAATTATCAATTAATTTCCCGTTTTCAACTACTAATGGACGCCTATCACATGAATTGGACAAGCTCACTTTCTGATGAAGCACAATGCCGCCAACCCATCAAATCTTCTGTCAGGGTAGAAGAAGAAGATGAACTGTTTCGAAGATGTCGTTACTGTGGTCGATTTTCCGCCGTCAATAACACATCAAATGTGGAAAATGTGAACGATACCTGTGTTAGTGATGTTGCTGACAAGTCCGAGGCATGCATCGGGCATCCAATCGATCGGGGGGAACCAGGAGATGCACAAAACCCTGAATGGGAACACTCGATTTCACTACAAGCACCCCAATCATCGATTCATCAGAGAACAAGTGCTGAACTCGCCGATACCGAGACACCGCAAACACACAGTGTTCGATTTTCCAATTTCGGTGATCAAGTGAATATACAACCTCGGTATCCGTTACGAAAACCTCTTATGAATGGACGGTTGTACACCTGTCGAACACCTGTTCGAGTCAGTGTGGCCAATCTTCGTAATTCACGTAAGCGGC